TGCTGATGTAGCTTTCACCTCTCGCAGAGCTGGAGCAATTATGTTGATGGGAGAGCATTCTCCGGCTGCCATGCCACATGTGTACCAGATATGCATTGGTGCAGCTACAGCTGTGCTGTTGTAGCGCTTCTCTTGCAGACCTGCCCGCAGTGTGAGCATAGAAACAAAATGAAAGGTCATGTTAAATCTGGTTGAAACCTTGAAAATTATGACTTTTCAAGTCTATTTTAAATATTTTTTTCATTTCCCCCTTTTCCATTCTTTCTCCATTTCTTAAACTAGGAAAAGCATTTTGATTTCTAAAACATTTTTTCCTTAGCTAGAGGAGGAGCGCAGGTAGCTATCCATGATAAGCAAATCACAAGTTATGGACAGTATAGTGTTTTCAGGTTTTAGTCACGGAGGATGTTTCATGCCGTGCATGCTTTCTCTCTCCTCTGTTTATGAAAAAAATATTATTTGTGTCTAAATATAGCATTGTTTTTGACCTACAGTCTCTGTAGTGTTTCTTACAGCTATGCCTGAGCAATTCCAGTAATAACTCTGATAATATGAATAGGTTTCTTCTCCCACCCCCTGTTGTTGCAGCTGGTGCATAAAACCTAAATATACACCAGGGTCCAATTGCAGAGCTTGAGTTTGAACTTGCAACCTCCAAATACAAGGAGTTCACCTCATTAGTGCACTAAGTTAATTGAGTCAGTGCTCTGCCATCAATATTCTTTAAGTTACTTTAATCCCTTGGATGCCATTTACTGAGATGGTTTGATCATATTTAATGTTTTGTTCTGGTTGTCCTATATTGTCTCTAAAGTAATGAAATATTAAAAAAGAGGGGAGGAAACTGAATAATGAAGAGGGCAAGTATTTTCCTTTAACCTGAGAGACACACAGAACAAGGAAATAACAGCTCAAAGTTTGAGACTGATGCACTGATGACTACTCAGCTGAAAATGTGCCTATTTTTCAGGGTTCTTTACTCCCCAACAGGATATTTTAAAGATACCATATCTACTGACTAACACATTGCATGTCCATGTTAACTGACATTTGTGTTGATTTTTTTTAACTTAACACGGCTGATAAACTTAAGGTCTTACCCAGCTCCAATAATGTCAGTGTTTGTTGGATCAGGCCCTTTTTATTGCCACCTTGTGTCATTAGTAATTGCCTATGTCTTCAGCCTGACCTGACAATACAAGTAGAAGCAATTGACTATGAGCACCTTTGTTGTTCAATTCCCCCGGCCAACGGAATAACCTTTTGTGCAGTATTAGATGCTATGGGGTTGCTTGATGTGCTATTTTCCAATGTCTACCCGCCTAGTATCTAAGTGTTACTATTCCTGTTTTTGAAATTCCCTGACACCTTTTGTAGAATTTTATACCTGTATCGAATAGATGAAAAATGCTATCAGACCAGAATGGTGGTGCCAATGTAAATTAGTATCCAAGAAGCAAAACCAAGGAAAATTGGGCCCGGCTCAGTGTTCAAGCTGCTACCATCTGTCATATAAACAGTACTTATTTAAATTACAGTCACAGTATGCAAGTGAAGCTAGTTGGGTAAATAATAGAGCTCTGCTTTGTGTTTGGGTAAGGATGCGAACAGGCCAAATATTGTTCTTTTGGGTGAATGTCAATCAAAAGGAATACTGGGCACTTTGCATATGTGACTGGGAAACACATTGCCAGGAATTTCACAAGACTGCTGCTGTTCTCTCAGCATGTCTATCATGAGGCAAAGAAAGGTATTCTTGTGATGACTGTTCATTACTGTGTCATAGAGGGAATAGTAGTGTGAGACTTGTGTGGTGTAGCTGATAGAGATAAAAAAGGAAGGCAAGTATTCTATGACTAGAAATCCCAAAGTTGCAGGGGAGAAAGGGAGGAAGGTAGAGGGAGATGGGTAAGAGATGTGGTTTCTTATGAAGAGAGACGGGTGTAGCCTCACTCCACGGATCATTCATATATCCACTTAGTTGAACAGTTTGCTTTTCTCAGTGTCAGTTTGCCATGGCTGTCTTTACTGGGGAGAATTTGTCTTGCAGATGGCAGAGTTGACTGAAGGGATTCGCTGGGCCTTTATCGACATGTTGGAAAAAGAAAATGACTGGATGGACTCTGGAACAAAAAGGAAAGCTAAAGAAAAGGTATTTGTGGGAGTGAGAAAATAAAAATGCCGGGTGAAATGCTGCTGCCTTGAAGTCGATGGAAACTTTGCCATTAGTTTTAATGCTGTGTTTAAAGTTCCATTGAATTGGTTAGAGATGCACATTGGCCAAATGCTCAGACACCTGAACTCCTGCTTTTCTGCTCAGGGTCTCATTTGTTACCTCATTTCCTCTCTCATTCACCTTGTTTGTTTTGTCCACTTCTTACGCCCTGAATGACATGGAGAGATTGTGAGCTCTCTGGGGCATGGGCTGTCTTCCTCATTCTTTGTCAATACAGTTCCTGCCACAATGAGCCCTGATCCTCCTATAGGCTTTCTAGGTGCTACCATAAAACAAATGAATAGTGCTACGATAAAATATTTTTAAGTTTAGGATGTCAAGAATCTGGCAGGATGAGGCTTCAATTTAGCAATAGGTATATGAAGATCTTGCGTCTGGGATATTCTTTGATGTCACTGTTGGAAGCCTGCCCCCTGAAAGCTGTACTTCCAAGAGTGATGTCACCAGTCAATGAGCAGTGCTCAAATGCAGGACATCACACCATTCTCAAGGCTGGAACGTCTCTGCATGATAATCTAAACATTCTGTGACATTATAATGCAAGGGGTCAATTGGATGTTACAAGGTGCCCCAGGCTCCCTGAACCAGGTCGCTCCATCCCTCATTTAAATTATGGGAGACATGGAGAAAGTCATCTCAGAAAACAGGGAGCAATGCACAGAGCAGCATGGGCAGTGGGTGAAGGCCAGGCTGGGGAAGGCAAGTCCCAACCCCGTCCCTTCTGCCTGAGATCACACCCCTGGAGCCAAGCCCTATCCACTCCAGCCTGATCCTTCCTGGCCACCTGGAGTGCTGGAACTGCCTCGCTTCAGCCTGGCTACAGCCCTCGACAGTGGCCAGGGAGCAGGGCTGCTGCTCCATTGTCCCATCCCTCCCAGTGGCTGAGGAGCTGGGCTGCTGTGCTGTGGCCCCAGCCTTCCCCAGCTATGGGGGAGCCAGGATGTTGTGCCCAGCCCCAGCCTTCCCTGGCAGCCCAGGCATGTAGGCAGTTTGGAGAAGGCAGTGCCTTCCCTTGCCTACAATACTGACCACCCATGCAGAGTGTCAATCTGGATTTGGCTACACTGCAAGTGTCAGAGCCTGGGTCACTTGACACGATGGGATAAATACACTAGTGTAGACTGTTGGCCTTGGTCTTAAGCCTGAGTTCTGAAATCCAGCCCGGTGGTTCTCCTGGATTCCAGGTGCCAGCATGAGTGTGGACATTCATATAGCTATTTTATTTTATATAAAAGCTATAGCAGGAGCCCACTGAGGCTGTCAATAGACACAGACTCTAAAAGTCATTGCCAAAGGGTTTCTCTTTTTTTTTGTACAGTGTAGATATACCCTAAAAATGTGTGAACTCGCAGGAGGAGAGGACAGGCTCATCCTCTTCTTTGTCAAAGTGACTAGACAGCATTCAAGTGACAAACACCCTTTGCGAACAGAATTATATGCAAGCGAAGCTGAGTTACGTCCCACCTACTGTGCTGGAATAAAAATAGCTGTTTTGATTTAAGAAAAGCGGTCTTCAAAGCTTTTTGATAATTCAGATGAAAAGGCTATGGAAGTCATTTTATCTTTGGAAAATTTTAAATTCAGTATGGCACATCTTTGCTTCATGCTGCCTTTCCCAAAAACACATTAGGAATGTATAGATGGATGAGTGAATCCCTCAGAGCCACAAAGCCAAAGGGAGCAGGGTCACACTGGTTCTTGCTAACCTGATACCAAATGGAGTGTAATGCTATATAAGCCACCAATTGCCCACCTCTTTTCACACAGCTTCTGAAGTTTTGGAACGGAAAGAACCAAACTGTCGGATTATATCTAATATAGCTACTAATATATCTAATAGAGATAATTCCTGACTCAGGGTGGCTTGATGCCATCTTTCAGATTTTTTTCCTCATATTCACTTTATCAATATCTTAAGGGTCTGGCCATATTTCTCTAAATGATTTACTTAGCCACTCTGTACACTGTCCTGCACAACTCCTGTCTGTCACCTGTCAGATGTAGCAGAAGGTTGAACAGAAGAGAGTCAGTGGAAGAAGATAGTAAAACTATGCAAAGTCCACAAGAAGCCAACAAAATTAGTCATATGTACTTCTGATATATACAAAATGTGCCTGGCAGACTAAATTCAGGCCTTATTTAAAAATCCTACAATACTGTACGGTAATATATGCATAGTTTAAGTTGAATTTACTTCAGTGCAAATTGGAGCAGGCTTATGAGAATAAAGTATATTTAAAGTATTATTATTATTATTTTATTTATTTATTAAAAAGTCACAGTTATATCCTTGATAGCTGTCACCTTTTTGCCTCATTACTATATAACACATTTTTATCCGAATGGAGATATGTTGTATGATTTTAGCAGTTTCAACACAATCCCATATGAGAGCACACAACAAGCTGACCTGATAAAATAATGTTTTTAAAAGCCATATCTATCTTAAATCCTCTTAATCCAGAAGTGTTTTAAACAACCCCTAAAGCTGATTTCATTATAACTGTTCTTTTAAAAAAATTAAAAATCCCACACGAAACAATAATATGATATATTTAAAACCAAAGCACAAAATGTCTGTTCTGTTGAGTATTTTGGGCAATACTGACAGCTTAACTCAGGGAACAGCCTACTGAGGAGCGATTGGCATCTTTTCCCAAAAGGCATCCGGAAGCAAATTGAGCACATGTTAAATAGGTAAATAAAACTCTGTGGGCAAATAATTTACTAAATAAATGGGAGACTTATCATGTGTCAGCCTCCTAGCAATTAATATGTAGATTGTTTATCCCAACACATGATCAGCTTTACATATATTCCCCTTCCATTTTCCTCTTTTTACTTTAATTAAAAAACATATAAAACAAAATATGTGGGTTTTTTTTACCAGTATTTGTTTACTGGTATGATATACAGAAAGTGCATTGGTTTGTCTAAATGTGTCCCCAAAGTATCTGTGTCCACCGTGCTATGGTGCTCCTGTCAGAGCTCATAAGTTGGGAGGTTGCTTTGGGTCGGTGTTTGCGATGAGGCACATCTGCATAAAATATGTTGCTTTGGATTCCTAGGTAGAACTCTGACTTGTGGATCAGTTCTGAGTCAAAGCCCAGCATTATGACAAGAGAGTTCTGTTGCTGAAAACACTATGTTTCAGATGAAAGGCTAGAAGGAACCAGTAGAACATCTACTCTGGTCTTCTGTATAACACAGCCCATAGAATGACACCCAGTTATGCCTACATTGTGCCCTGTGACATGAAAAATAAAATAACTACTTGGCTGCTTGTGGGAATTAAGTGTCTTAGGGTATTTTTATAAGAGTAAGATTATTAACTGAAGGACAATCCAACTGTGAGTGATTACAATCTGGGGGGAACCTCTCCTGAGTGCAGGCCTACTGCTCTAACCATTTGGATATACTTCCTCACAATGATGTGTAATATAGAGTTGCTATGTGCAATTATACAGCACTTGCATTTTACGCAGAAATGACTGCATTTCATATACAGTAGGCTTCCAGTAATCCGGAACCTTTGGGACCTAGGAGGTGCTGGATTATCAGATATGCCAGACTATCAGGAGGTACTAGAAAATGGTTATATACAGGCGTGGCTCAAGGCCAGCAGCGGCAGCTGGCACCCCAGGCGGGCAGCACAATTGGCGCTCCCGCCCGCATGGCCGTCAATGGCTGTGACGTCATCATTGGGCGTCTGGGCCAGCGGCGCTCTAGACAACTGCCTAGTTCACTTAGGCTCACGGGCCACCCCTGGTTATATATATAAATATACAGTACTGTATATACTGTATATAAAGTGTTTTTAACTCTTTTTATTGTACATACTGTTTACAGTATACTGTAATGTTTTAGTTTTTTAACCCTTTTTTACCCTTTTTATTGTAAATACTGTAATGCATACATTTACTCATAGAATGAAAGAATAAATGTACAGTACAGTACTCACTATTATTGTTGCGAAGTCTTTGAATACCGAAAGCAGAGGATACTATGTATAGTAGTGTGCAGCACTGGCTAATCACTTAAACTATCAATACAGTAACTTAAAAGACTTAATACAGCACTTTATTCACTTAAACAGAAAAATTATACACTTCAGCACTGCCGCTGCTGCCTTGTGACTCGTTTTTTGCCAAAGCTCACTCACTAGGTTCTTGCCATTTTGATGCCGGACTATCGGGAGTGCCGTACAATTGGATGCTGGACTATTGGAGTTTTACTGTAGTTAGTTTTGTCTGTCTATAGTTGGTTTAGCTGGGTTTTTTTTATTTGAGTTTGTAAGCCGCTTTGAAATGAGTTAATTGTTATTGTTATTTTCCTGTTTAACAGTTCTACCCCGATAGGTCCTTTCCCCTAGTACTTAGTCCTTTTTAATCCACGATTTGTCTGTTTAGTCCATAGTAGGCTTATTACTTTATTGTGTAAAATTAAAAATCCATTTTGTTTGCATGTTTTGGTTTTGTGCATTGAAAACATTCTTAAAAAATGCTCCTAACATGAGCTTGATAGGCTCATAAATCTTTATGTTTAGGTGACATCGCTGTACTGAAAATGGCTTGATAGGCTTACTGATCATCTAAAAGAGGATATTGCAGGTTCTGCTTGTGGTAGGGATAGTCTCAGTTCTGCTAGCTTCCACTTTTTGAAATTGTTGATCGTGCCAGGGGTCAGCTGAACAACCTTCTGTAAGCCTGACTCAGACCTCCCTGAAGTCATTGAAGACTCCCATTGACTTAAGCAGGCTTTGGAGCAGATCTCGATGATAAGAACAGTGCCATCATTTGGCTTTGGGAGAGCAGCCAGCTCAGTTTAAATTTGAAAATTGACCTTTTTTGCAAGTACAGGCAGTCCCCGACTTACGCGGATCCGACTTATGTCGGATCCGTAGTTACAAACGGGGC